GGAGGAGGAGGAGGAGGAGGAGGAGGAGGAGGAGGACGAGGACGAGGCCGAGGAGGACGAGACGAGGACGAGGGCGAGGGCGAGGCCGAGGACGAGGACGAGGGCGGGGTTTTCGGAGGGGGGCCTGGTCGAGGCAGCGGCGGCCCTCCGTGGCCCCCGGGAGGCTGCGCGGCGCCAGGGCCGGAGCCGCCTCGAAGCACGACGCCGGGGCGAGAGAGGTCCGGAGGCGCCTCGAGGCACGGCGCCGGGGCGAGAGAGGTCCGGAGGCCCAGGCCGGGCGGCTCCGGGCCGTGCGGGACTGCAGTCGACCCGCAGAGTGTCACCGTTGAGGGGGTCATCACCGTGGAGGGTCAGACCGAAAAAGTACAAGCTCAGATGTCCGGAGGTCTCCGCGCAAATTTCTTGAGCCGACGCTGGGCCGGGCGGTTCCGTGCCGTGCGGGACTGCAGTCGACCCGCAGAGTAGGGAGAGGCATCCCTCCCAAGGGTACCCTGGTATCCTTGCTTCCTGGGCCGAGGAGAGCGGGGAGTCTTACGATTTAGGGGGTCGTCGTTAACTTATCAGTGTCGTTATATGCAGATCTTTGAGGGCCAGGACCCCTACTTCCTTCTAGCGTCCCCAGATTGCAGAACGTTCGCTAACCTAAAGAAGCTTAACGATAGCAAGTACAGGGACCCAGAGGAGCGAGCTAGATTGGAGGAGGTCCATCCTTGGACGCTTCCGTCGGCCGCGCCCCGCTCGGAGCGTTTCGAGATGGGCGTCCAAGGGACACAGCATTCTTATCGACGTTCGTCTGCGCCTCCTTGCTCTGCGGGCTGGCTGTGCCGACGTTCGTCTCGGTCGGCCCTCCTCCGACAGAGGAGGCGAGCTGTCACGACACGCTGTGGCCGCACGGGCGCGCCGAGGGCGCGAGGCGCGCGTCTGCGCGCAGGACGCAAGGAGCACGCCTGTGCGTCGGTCTGTGCATTCGGGGTCCCTCGGGCACGGTCGCTGTGCCTCTCGGCTTGTGCGTTGCCAATGAGATCGGCCCGTGGCCCGGACCTTTCGACTCGGCGCCTGCGCGTCCGCTTGCGCCCGCGAGGAAACATTCGGGGGTCGCCGTGCGCGGGCCGTTGGGCGGGGGGACCGCCTCGGCGCGCGGTTGGGGGCAGTTGTGTTTGCACCAGCGGATGCTCGTTTGGGTGCGAGCATTTCTTGCGTCATAACACAAATGCCGTGATGCATGGGGTAAGATCGACGAAGCATTTCTTGCGTTATAGCACAAATGCCGTGATGCATGGGGTAAGATCGACGATCACGTGTGTTGGTGTATGTGTGCGAAGGCGTGCGCGCCATAAGCGATGATATTGCTTGCCTCCTCCTGGCCGCTATGCCCACGTGTCTCCGCAGACATGTCTCCAAAACTACGCGGTCGTTCAAGTCATGTGACGTCATGCCAGGCCTGCACGTTGCAATCTTACGCTATCAATTGCAGGCGTTTTCAATGTTTGTGCTCCAGATGTGGACATGTAGTTCATCAGTAGCGCACCGTGTAAAATGTTGGCTGATCAGGAGTTCGGTCGACATGTCGTTTGCTACATTATTTTAAATCGTAGCGTGCACGTTCACCTTTGCCCAATTGCGGGTCATGCAAACATGTGTTACTCACATGCCATATTAGCACATGATGCGATGCCAGACAATACGCACACGCACCCTGCATTAACGCATGTGCATGACCACTTGCCAGAGCACATGCTATCCCACATTGTTGCATGTTATGTTAGATCATTCATTCATCATATACATTTTAAACCCTAATAAGGACGCGCGGTAAGGACGCAAGACCCTTGGAAACCGAAGTTGGGATTTTTGGGGCGGCGGACGACGAAAACCCCAAGGACGCAAGAGCAAGGAAAAGCAAGGACGCAAGGGTACCTGAGTAAAGTCGCGCGTCCTTGTCAGGGTTTTTGACTGTATACATACATATGTATACGCACTGCCCCAACATATCTCGCACCATCGTACACCATCGCATGCTGGCACCACGCTGCCGCAACAGGCGAACATCTCTCCGCGGGGGGCGTTCGGGGGCGCGCCAAAAACCAGGCAACGGCCCTCGCCGCGCCTCCCCGTCCCCGGCCATGCCCCCGCGCCAGCGCCCCCTCCCGCGGCGGGCGGCGCAGCCCCGCTCGGGGCAGCAGCTTCGGCGCAGCGCCAAAAGTGCGATGCGCCCCCCGCCCCCCCCCTCGCCGCCGCCCGCTCCTCGCCCCCCCTCCCCTCCTCGTCCCCTGACTCCGCTGACCCCAAGCAGGGTGGCATGCCGGCTGCCTGCGGCGCCTGCGACCGCGTCAAGATGCGCGGGCGGCGCCTGCACCCTATCACTCGACGCGCCTGCGCAGCGCCACGCGCGGTGCCTGCGCTGCTAACCAATGCCCGCGGTGCCTGCGCCAATGCAGCGGCGTACTGGCGACGCCTGCACCGTGCTCTTTCCAAACAGCGGAATGGCATCTGGGAGAGCGTTTGTAGTATAGTCGAATGTCCTGCCCACAACATCCCACAGCCACGTCATGCTCGTGTGTAGAGGATATCGCATGCATAAACGCAGGAAGCTTATATTGGC